TTCACCGGAATTGTTTCAAATTTGGTATTTGTAGTTCGAAATGGATACTACAGCCTATGACAGAAAATTATCTGGGCAGGTCTACGTCTTCGAATAGCCCCCATATAACGGTATCTCCCTATATTCGGTATTTTGATGATTTTAGCGCCATTATTCACCGGAATTATTTTAAATCACGTATTTAGAGTTCGTAATGGGAACTACAGTCTGTGACAGAAAAATGTCTATGCAGGTCCAGGTCTTCGTATAGGCCCCATATATCAGTACCTCCCTATATTCGGTATTTTGACGAGTTTAGGTACAATACCCATTGAAATTGTTTGAGATATCGTATTTGACGTTAGTAATGAATGCTATAGCCTGTGACAGAAAATTGTCTATGCTGGTCCAGGTCTTCGCACAGCTCCGATATAATGGTACCTCCCTATATACGATATTTTGATGATTTTAGCCACATTATTCACCGTTTATTTCAAGTTTCGAATTTGAATATGGTAATGGCTAATGGCAAACAATGCCTATATAGGTCCACGTTGTATAGACCCCAATATAACGGCAATATTCGGTATTTTTAAAATTTTACAGAATTTTTTAAGGATTATATTTTTTTAAAATTTCCAAATTCGTTCCAAATGGTGGAGGGTATTCAAAGTTCGGCCCGGCCGAACTTACTGCTTTTTAACTTGTTTCTTTTTTTGTTTTATTTTTTCTTCAACCAACGCTTAAAAGGGCGCGCAAGTTGTAATACATTTGTTGTTGTTATTTTCACTAACAGGAGAATTTGAATATTTGATGTGTGTGGCGAGGGGGAGTATTTCCGAAATATGTAACAGCTACAACGCGTATAGGCAATCACTACATTTAATAATCGGGCCAATTACGGTTGTCGTTTCTATAGTCGTAGTCGACTTTATGTGCAAGTCGCCTTCACCGTCGCTTCGATTCAAAAATAGTATTACGGACGTTGGCAACATTCCCTTGTTATTGACAAAATGAGATAAAAATTTGTTTGTAGTTTGAATTATAATTTCGTCTCTTCCAGAAAAATAAAAAATATAGTGAAAAAATGGATATTATAAATGCGTTACATATCTTAAGTTCAAGGGAGGATGAAGTGGAGAATGTATTAGTAGTGCAGCGGCGAGTGCTAAGGCAGCAAAGTACTTACATCAGTCTCGTCATCAGGATTGTCCACTGGCTCATTTTCATGATCTATAACGTCTGTTACAGTTATGTTTTCCGTATTTTTTACTCCAAGTGCACGACCTGGTTGATTCAGTAACTTTTGAAACTGCATTACATTCGCGAAGGACTCCTACCAAAGCGACAAAGTCATTTGCTTAAAAATACCACCTCCAGTGCTGCTAGCTTCACCCTTATTGTGCACAATTGTTTTTTAGTTTTAAATTTAAAATCTTTCCAAACCTAAAAGAACTTTAGAAAACTAACTAATAAAAATATACAAAAATAATTTTAATTTCAACATACTTTTTGCCAGTCTCTAATCGGTGAACCGTTTAAATTTAATCTTGTGGCAATGGATTCCAATCTGATTTCAAATTAGGTGGAAAATGACCTTTGGTAAACCCCTTACCAAACATGGGTTTTTTTTTCCAATTCGGAAAGCAACTTTTCAAATTGTTTTGCTGTTGTTATTTTCGTGGTCAAATATCAAATACAAAAAAGTTACAATATCAATGTCGACTAAAAAATACAATGTCGTCACAATTGTATACGGCGATAGATTTTCCTAAAAATCGACTTCACGTCGACTGTTGTATCGACAATTATAATAGCGATCTTTTGTCGCTATCGACAAAAAACGACAACTCTAATATCATTTTGCGACGCCGACGAGATTCATAATAGGGTCGAATAAGATGTTGATGAACCAAACATAGTGTTTTGGTAAGAATATTAATTAAATGAATTTACGTGAACTGTATGTGGAAGTATCGAATAATAATAAAGAACACTTTCTTAATGAAGAAAGACCGATAGGGTGAATAAAAGTCGACTAGTATAGATTTTGTTTATTATTTTGGAAAATAGAAACACTTGCGAATAGCTCTTTAAAAACAAACTAAATTTACATACCTGGTATATCTCCGTTGAAATGTGTGTTGATGTTGAATTTGGATCGATATTGGAGGTGGATGGTGGCGACGGGTGGTTGATGATTGCCTTGTTTGGTAAGAAAAGAGAAAAGAACTCCGATTAACACAACAACGCAAGGCAAGTTGCTCAGTGATCCGGCTCGGTTGGATCAAATGCTTGTTTGAGAGCTCAGTGTAGATGAGACCGATTGAGTTGTTGTTGTGATACAAACCGTGTGTGGTACCGAAAAAGAATTAGATGAAGAAAAACACCAGTTTGTTAGATTTTATAACTATAAAGATATGAATGTGATTTATTGAGTGTGAAAGTGTCCGTAACGTACTTTACCTTGTTTGGCTGAGACGCGTGCTTACAGTTTGCGAGTGTAACGACCAATAATAAAAGATAATACCGAAAGTTATGCAAGGCTCACTACGATCCGAACTGAGCGGACATAGTTAAAGGGAGAATTTACAGAGAAATTCTACGACTATGAGAGTGAGTACTCCTTACAATCCGAATATGGCGAACATAGTCTCCGAGAAGGTTTATAGGTTAACAGTAGTATCACCCTACGATTCACAGAAATCGAATACGGTTTCTCGGAGGATTTGTAGGGAATATACAAGGAAGGGAGATCTCTCTGTGATCCGAACTAAGCGAACAATGACTCCTTGGAGATTTGTAGAGAAAATACCAATACACTTTTTAATTTAAACAATATCTATAGCAAGTACTTCAAATTTTGGTCAAAAACGATTCAGATAAAGCTATAGCTCCCATATATACAGGGTGAGATGAAAAAACTGCAACCAAATTCAGGCTGCTGTCATTTCTTTGGCCCTCGTCCAACAGCTGTTAAAATTATTCCAGTAACAGCTCATTATATTGTTTACAAGCGTACAAAAGCGTTTTGGTGAGAATTTACCAGTTATTCTTGACAAAATTCAAGCGTGATAGTGTAATTTCTTTATGTTTGACGGGAAACCACGGAAACATTTTGGCCCCAGACCTTGGATATTCCAACAGGACTCAGCAAAATGAGGCTCCTCACTTCATTTCCAGCGCACAAAGGCCACCAAAGTCTCCAGATACCAATCCGTTGGACAATTATGTCTGGAGTATTTTGGAAAGCAAGGTTGACACTAAAAAATACCGAAGTGTCGACCACTCCAAGCAAGCGCTTCGCCTGGAATGTACAGAAATATCGTAGAGCAACATTCGTAGAGCAACATTCATTGGGCATTTGGAGGATATTTCCGACATTTTTTCATTCAATAAAATTAAGAAAAAAAAAACAATGTAAAAATTATGGGGTTTGACTTTGTTGCAGTTTTTTTATCTCACCCTGTATATTGTTAAGACCACGTCCATACACCATTGACTAATGAAAAAATAATGCTCTCACCGTTCATCTTCGAAAAAAATTGGATCAGCAGATGTCGTCTATATCGTTTTAAGTGTATGAGTGAAAATATTGAAACCACTCAATTCTAAAATGTTAAAAATATCATAAACTGTAAGCTAAAATTTATTTCATAAAATTTACTTGATAAAAGAAAAGCGAAAATTACGTGATGGCATCGTAAAATACGAAACAAGTGAAAATCTTGAAAAATTATGAAATGTGATTTTGAATTTGAGTAGGTCGACCGCGTAAATCAGCATCAGCATAAAAAACAAAACTAACTTTTCGTTGTATATACATTCATTAGCCTATACCACGTCTATCATATCCAGAGTTCGAAAATAAACAGTAAAGAAAGATAGTGTAATGTACCGTAACAGTATCACTAAACCATTTTTTAGCGGTAGTGTACCGGTATGCTATCACTAAAAAATATTTCAGTGATACTATACCGGAACACAACGAAAATCGTTGTGTACAGCAGTCGGAGCGCTAAAAAATCGTAGTACACCGCAATAGGAACACTAAAAACACGTAGTATTCCGCAATCGGAGCATTAACAAGTAAAAAACAGCTAAGTTCGGCCGGCCGAACTTTTAATACAATCCACCATTTGAAAGGAACTTGAACAATTAAAAAAAATCCGAAAACTATCACTTAAATTAAAACCGTTACATGGGGACTGTACGAAGACGTGGACCTGCATACAAAACTTTTTGCCATAAGTTGTAGTACCCATTAAGATCTTTCAATACTGAATTTGAAACGACTCCGTTGAATTGTGTTGCTGAAATCATCAAAATACCGACTATACCGACTACATATACGATGACGTGGACCTGCACATAACATTTTTTGTCATAGGCTGTAGTACCCATCACGAACTTCAAATTCGAAATAGTAAATAACGTAGCTAAAATCATGAAAATACCGAATATCGGGATGTACCGTTATATGGGGGCTATACGAAGACGTGGACCTGCATACGAAACTTTTTTGACATAGGTTGTAGTTCCAATTAGGGTCTTCAAATACGACATTTGAAATAATTCCGGTAAATAATGTCGCTAAAATCATGAAAATACCGAATATCGGGAGGTACCGTTATATGGGGGCTATACGAAAACGTGGACCGACATGACCATTTACGAATTTAACCTTCCTACTGGTAAACTATGCATGTATGCAAAATTTTAGCCTTCTTTTTTTTAAGACAGACGGACAAACAGACGAACATCGCTAGACCGCCTTAGCATTTTACGCTGATCCAGGTGAATTATTAATATTTCGAGGAGTTACAAACGGAATGACAAAGTTAATATACCCTCCATAGAATGGTAGAGGGTATAAAAATAGCAGTGTACCACATGCACCACATTAAAATATGTACTGGCAGTAATATGCTTTTTATGATTAGGAAAAAATATTAGATGTTTGATTTTTTGGTATAATGAATAAAATGACTATTGTACATGAATGTACCCAACATATTTTAGATGTTGCTATTTTTTTGCCCAACAATGTGCGTGCTATTTATTTGGCGCACCACTGTACCGTAGCGGTACGCATTTAATATGCACACATACATGCATACGCAAGCGGTACCAAACTATTATGTATTTACAAGTCTTCGTTCTCTTTTCCAGTCAGCATTGGAAAAGTCAAAGCAAAAATGCAGTTGGTGACGGCTTTGATGAGAACGAGATAATCAATCGAAGTTTTGCGTAAAATCGATCGACACGATACTTGACCCCGCCGCCGTGATAAAGTGAAGTGAAAGTTAAATTTTAAAGTACAAAAAAAAATCAAAAGAATTTATCGTGAATTGTGATATTATTTAAAACCTAAAAATAATACACTTATTTGTAAAACAATACTTACCTTTGAAAACTATACTTACCTTTGAAAACTGTAATTAACTAAAGTGAAAAAAATATACTTACCGTAGAAAAAATATTGGAAAAAATACTTACCTGTGAAATACTATACCTGCCCTTGAAATTGTAACCTTTACTTACCATATTAAAACCCCAAAATTAAGTGAAATAAAGTGAAATAAAAAACTAAATAAATTGTTTTAAAAAAAGAAGGTAAAAACATTTTGGTCCTTCGAGCCGGATAAGTGTGGTTAAGGAAAAACTTAACATTAACAAATTGTGAGAGTGAAGTTTAACGAATTTAGAAAAATTCTTGCAACAAAAAAGAACGAAGAACAGTGAAAATTTTAAGAATTGAAAAAAGAGACTAGTGACAATTAACACCAAAATATAGACACTTCATATAACAAAAATATCAAACGCAGTACACGGTACGGAAAAAATAACAACAACAATAACAAGAAAGGTGAAAACTGGGATAGAAGAAAGCGGACGGACAGACGTAAGCTGAGAAACCCAACACTTTTTTGACACACACACCCTTTACCAAGAAGATCAAAGTGAGTACAAATACAGTTTTTTCTACACAACCAGAAAGCATTGGAGGAAATTATTCGAAAACAAATACAAAGACCCTCGTGCTTTCTTTGGTTCCCAAATCATTTGACACATTGACACCTTTTGTAAATCTAATTTGGGGACCCTTTGCCTATCTCCTTGCCTTCATACAAATGGAGAAGAACATAAATTAATGGGAAAGACTCTATTAACAAAATATATACAACTTTGTCCGCCATAATTTTTTTGGAAAATTTTTTTGGAATTTCTGGAAAACAATTGGAAAATAGTTGGGAATTTTTTGGAATTATTTGGAAAAATCGACTCACACATCGAAACACATACTTTTATCGCCATATTAATTTGGGAAATTTTAAAAAAAAAAAAAAAAAAAAAAAAAAAAAAAAAAACTTCGAGAATGGAAAATAATCTCAATCCTAAAGAGGTTCAAATTTTTTAAATAACAAAATATTCAAAAGAAATAAAATTTCGTTTTGACACCAGCCAATATATACAAAAAATATATATATATACATTTAAAATTTTGCAAATTCTAAAAAACATTTTTGTAATATTGAATAAGATTTTGATTTACGAAAGATAATTTTCGGCATCTTTAGTTGGCTGAAATACCATTTTGAAATCTTTTTATATTTTTCTCTACGGTTGACTCCAAACCATTAACAAAATTGTTTGCTGTTGTTTGTACAAACTGTGTTTGGTTGACAGACGCCAAAAGGTTTAAGGTTAGTTAACCTAAAAATTCTACCTCAACACATTTTATTATCTTGTGAAAATTATAAGACACATAATTTATACATAACGCCATATTGGTTTCCAAATACATAGCATTTGGGACTGGAAATAAAAACTCAGCACTAAAAATATTTTGCAAATAGAAGCGTTAGGTGGATAAGCGTTAAAAATTGAAGGTTAGATAACCTCACCTTAACCTCTTAACCCATCTTATCGCACCATAAAAAATATTGAAAAACATTTTTATTTTTCAAAAGAACCTGATGATTTGAATGCAATCATATTCTTAAGTATTTTTTTGCTCTTTACGACCCTTGAAAGCTATTTGTGTTGAAAAATTTGGAAATTTTTGACCCAGAATTATTTAATGCAGAAACGGTTTGCTGGGATATCACGATTTATTGGCTGATTTTTTACTCAAACTTTTGACTTGAAATCAAAACCCATATATTTTTTGAAATTTTGTCAGCGTTAAAGAGTAACACAAAAGAGATTTTAACGTACTTTTGTTTTATATACAAGTCGTTGTTTTTCTTTCTTGCCAGGACAACCCAACACACATATTTTCTTCAATTTTTTTCTTGGATTTTTTTTTTCTTTCGAATTTTGCGAATTTTTTTGCACCCTTTAACTATTTATGGCGCTCTTTTAACAAAATATTTGCCAACCAATATTTTGAAACCCTACAAGAAAATCTGATTCTTTGATTCGATTTACTCTACAAATAACCCTCTTGTCGTTAAATTTATTGGGAATAAACAACGAAGTTTTGCTACGTCAAAATTTGTCGATACTATTTTTTAACCCAAGAACAAAGCGATTGGCCCTCATTATTGGGCGACTTTGTCAACTTATTGTCAAAACAACAATTTTTATAAAGTCAGACCCAATTCACTACAATTATGGACAAAGTAAATCGGGAAAAATTCACTAATTGCGTTAATGATATGCAAGATTATGCATCGATCTTAAGCATAGCAAACTCAGAAGACGACACTTATAGATTAGAGGCATCGAGAGTTCAGTTAGATTCGATTTATGATCAAGTCAAAAGAGCGTATGTGGAATGCCGGGATTATGCTCCTCAAGAAGGAGAGAAACCAGTTGATAAAAATAAATTAAGGAGTCAATATATGGAGGCCATTAATTCATATAAAAATGCCTTAGGGAAAATTAATGGCCAAATCCAGACAGCTAAGCAGAGAGAATCAGAAGAGAAAATGAAAAGAGAAAGCACACTTACGCCCAAGGTGAGCAATGATGCTGAATTCACTCCGATTTCTCGATTGCCACCGTGTGACACAGATATTTTTAAGGGAGGATACAGCGAGTGGCCGACGTTCCGAGATCTTTTTTCAGCGATATATATAAAAAACACGAAACTGAGCAATGTTGAAAAACTCTTTCATTTGACACAAAAGACGGCAGGAGAAGCGCGAGATGTAATCAGTCATGTCCCACTTACGAATGATGGGTTCGATTTGGCGTGGAAAAATCTTACCGAGCGTTATGAAAACAAAAGAATGCAGGTAAACGAGCAGATAAAAATCCTCTTTAACCTACCCCACGTCACATATGATTCAAGTAGCACAATTCAAAAACTTCAACGCACCATGAATAGTTGCATTCAGACTTTAGAGACTCTAGAAGTAGATGTAAAAGGCTGGGATCCAATCCTTATTTATCTTTGCTCCTCTAAATTGCCTCGATCTTTCTTAGAAGAGTTTGAAAATTCATTAGAAAATATCAAAACACTGCCTACTTGGGAGCAACTAAATAATTATCTGACCCACAAATTTACAACTCTAGAATCTGTGGGGAATATTAGACCCACTAGCATAAAATATGCTCAACAAAAACCAGAATTTAGTAAAAAACTGAAATTTGCAAGTAGTTTTCAGACCAATACATGGTCCAATTCTCAGTCACAAGGGGGTAAACCCAGTAAACAAACTTCGAATCAACCGCCAAGAACTCAAGTCACACAGAATTGTCATCTTTGTAAATCAAATCATTTTATAAAGGATTGTCCTCGATTCATAGAAAAGTCAGTGAATGACAGAATTCATTTTGTAAAAGTTTCACACCTTTGTTATAATTGTCTTTCTTCAAATCATTCCTTAAAAGTCGGTTTGGTTGTCGGTCTTGCAATATGAGACACCATTCCATGCTACACAAGGGAACAGAGAACCTTCAAATAAGCAAAAGTAACAACATAGCTAGAGATGAAGTACGTCCTAGTACTAGTGCTTCAGCTCTTAACACAACAGTACAGTCCACAGAACCAGCAAATACTACAGCTCTGACCCTTCAAGAACATAGAATTTTCGAACATAATCCTAGAGCAACTTTGCTTTTCACTGCAATTGTACAAATCCAGTTTAGAGGACAATCATATGATGCCAGAGCAATTATTGACCCTGGATCTCAATCCACCTTTATCTCAGAAAAACTTAAAAACAAGTTGAATTTGCCAACTAAGAATAATCTTGTTCATGTTACGGGACTTAGTCAAATTGTCTCGGAAACTTCTACAAAATCTTGCCTTTTCACTCTTCGTTCTCGTTTAGACCCACAGTTTGAGCTAGACGTATGGGCGCCAGTTTTAAAGTCCCTTTCGTCCAATTTACCTCCACAAAATATTGAAAAGACTAAACTTACAAATATTAGGGGCCTTAACTTAGCAGACCCTACATTTCACATAAGTCAACCAGTCGATCTCCTTATAGGGATGGATATAGGACCCTTAATATTTACAGTGGGTGCACCTATAAAATTGCTTGACTCATTCTTAGCACAAGACACTGTATTCGGTTGGATAATAGGCGGTCCAATACCCGAAACCCATGGAAATGATCATAACGTTTCCTTGTTCAACACAACTTCAATTGAAAAGTTCATTACACGTTTTTGGGAGGTGGAAGAGCCCCCAAAAAGAGTTTTGAGGTCAGAAGAAGACTCCTTCTGCGAACAAAATTACCAACGAACAACAAAGAGAAATAAAGATGGGAGGTATATTGTTACCCTGCCCTTTAAAAATTGTGAGGAGTTAGGAAATTCTAGAAATATAGCCCTCGCACAGTTCTTTAGAATGGAGAAAAAGCTGTCAAAGACTCCCGAAATCAAAGACTCGTATGACAAACCGATATAAGAATACCTAAAGTTGGGACACATGAGAAAACTTTCACTCGAGGAAATAGACCAGACCCCAAATTATTATTTGCCGCATCATGCGGTCATCAAACCAGATCGGTTAACAACGAAACTTCGTGTAGTTTTTAATGCCTCAAGTCCCATTTCTAATAAAAGAAGTCTAAATGATAATCTTTTCGCTGGGCCAATATTACAGCAAGACCTTGTTCTACAAATACTTAAATGGAGGTTCTTTAAATACGTTTACAATGCTGATGTTACTCAAATGTACCGTCAGATTTTCTTAGATAGAAACCAGACTCGTTATCAAAGAATTCTCTTTAGGAAATCTCCTTTTGACCCAGTTGAAGATTTTGAACTTTTGACAGTCACTTTTGGAGTGAACTGCGCACCTTTTCTAGCGCTCCGCACACTCATGCAATTAGCAGATGACATTAAAGACACATACCCTAAGGCTGCTAAAATTATCTTACAAAATTTATATGTTGATGACGTACTTGCGGGAGACCATTCGATTGAGGAAGCAATTGACTCACGTAAAGAATTAATCTCTGCATTTGAATCTGCAGGATTTCAACTTAGAAAATGGACTTCAAATGAGCCCAAAATAATCAAAGATTTGCCAGAGGATCAACTTTTACCACTCAATTGGCTAGATTTATCTGAAAATGCGTCCACTAAGACTTTAGGTATCAGATGGAAGATCTCAGAAGATTGTTTTTCAGTTGCATGGCCTTCTATCGAACACCAGTCAAATTATACAAAGAGAGAAGTTTTATCTATAATTGCCAAATTATTCGACCCCTGTGGTTGGCTAGCTCCGATAATCGTGGTTGCTAAATTAATTATGCAGCAGATATGGCTGGACAAAATCGAATGGGATGATACTTTAAAACCTATGACACTAACAAATTGGCAGAATTTCGTAAAAAACACAAAATCAATAGACACTCTTACTATTCCAAGATGGATCAAATACACTCCAAGTAATCAAATTGAAATTCATGGATTTTGTGACGCCTCAGAGAGCGCATATGGTGCCGCTGTGTATATTCGTGTCGAACATGCCAATAATAGTGTTGACACTTTTCTCTTAGCATCCAAAACTAGGGTAGCACCAATTAAAAAGATTTCGTTGCCACGACTTGAGCTTTGCGGAGCTGTACTTCTGTCAAAATTAACCCACTCCATAATAACAAATCTTCAAATTTCAAAAATTGAATCTTGTTTTTGGACGGACTCCACAATTGTTTTAGCTTGGCTTAAAAAACCGCCTTGCCACTGGAGCCCCTTTGTTGGAAACAGAGTTTCCGAAATTATAGAAAACGTTGGAAATGAGCGATGGCGTCATGTTGATTCGGATGCTAATCCAGCTGATGTCGCAAGTCGTGGATGCTCACCGTCCGATTTAAAAACACATCATTTGTGGTGGCATGGACCACAATGGTTAAAATACAAAAAAGGTAGTTGGCCTTCGAATAAAATTCCGATAGAAAAGAAACCAGCTAAAGTACTGACACTTGCAACCATTACTGGTAACGCCAAAGAAGAACTTATAAACAAAGATCCTTTAAAAAATTTCTCAAAGTTACAGCGAGTTTACAGAACGTATGCATTTGTTATGCGTTATTCCAAACGGCATTTAAGAGCTTGTCCCGATTTTTCTCAAGAAGAGATTCGACACGCTAAGCGTCTAGTTATCATGGTTACCCAAAAATACTATTTTGAAACAGAATATCAATTACTAAAAAGAAAGGCGAAACTTCCACCTAGCAGCAGTCTGGTGACTTTAAATCCGTATCTAGACACAGATGGTCTTATAAGATCAAATGGTCGCCTTGTACAATCCCCTGCGTTAACATATAATGAAAGATACCCCATTTTGCTACCCTACATTTCCAAATTGTCGCAATTATTGGTCGAATTTACACATAAAGTAACTTTACATGGGGGAAATCAACTCATGTCTCGAATCCTACGTTCTGAATTTTGGATATTCAAATTAAAAATCTTAATCAAGAAAACAATCCACAACTGCAAAATTTGCAACTTATATCGAAAACACAATCAAAATCAAATTATGGCTTCTCTTCCGCCTGAGCGTACTTCACTTGCAAGACCCTTCTACAATACTGGGGTTGACTTTGCGGGTCCTTTTAATATAAAGAACTTCACCGGACGTGCTTGTCTTGTTACAAAAGGATACGTGTGCGTTTTTATGTTTTGCTACCAAGGCAATTCAATTAGAAGCAACCAGCGATCTGTCCACAGAATCTTTTTTAGCTGCGTTCGCTCGATTTATAGGTCGAAGAGGATGTCCCTCCTGTGTATATTCAGATAATGGAACGAACCTTGTGGGTGCCGCTAAATCCCTAAAAAAGGGCGCAGCAGAATTCCTTAGAAACTTTAGAACTCTCGCCGTTAATTGTCATAGATGGAAAAATGAATATCTAAGCGAACTTCATAGAAGACACAAATGGAAATATCAAAAGGATAACTTAAAGAATGGTGATCTAGTGGTCATAAGGGATGATCGGTTGTCGCCAACAGAATGGAGATTGGGACGCATTGTCAAAACTTACCAGGGGGTCGACAATAACATTAGAGTTGTAGACATTAAAACTTCCCTTGGCATAACTAGCCGACCCATTACAAAAGTCGTCAAACTATTTACCGACTGACTAGTCGGACCCCCTTCAAAAAAAACTTTGTACTCCTCTCTCTTTTTTTTACAGAAATGGCGGCCTACCTCCCAAATCAAGAGTGGGAAGATGATGAGGAAGTGAGACCCCCAAACAGGCGCCAGCAACAAAACCGCCCCCAACAACAGCAAGTATCACCAAACAGGCGTCAGCAACAAAACCGCCCCCAACAACAGCAAGTATCACCAAACAGGCGCATTAGCGAGTCGCAGCAACACCAACGAAGAAGGCAACAATCGAGGAGCAGGTCTGGTCAGCGAGAGAGTAGACGAGAGCGGCCGAGTTTCTGGCAGTACTCATGCGGGCTGTGTCAGGACGACCATGCCATAAATACATGCCCCAGGTTCCGAGAACAGACACCGTACCAGCGGTATGAAACAGTGGAGAGGAGAGGGTACTGCCGCAATTGCTTGGCAAGGAGTCATTTGGCACCAGATTGTACATGTTTAACCGGTTGTCGAAGATGTGACCATCGACACCACACTCTCCTCCATGGAGCTCCGCAGCTGGACAACACGTTGCAGCCTGCGCCCATAGTAATACCACCATTTTCTTGGGATTTAGTTTTTGTTCCAACCGCCTTGGTACGTGTTGCAAGTGAAGGTGTTGACACCTGGAAGACAGTAAGAGCGTTGATTTGCCAATCGGCATCCATGTCAAAAATTGCATACTCCGCGTTCCAAAGACTTGGCCTTAGATCATTTATCTACAGAAACAGACGATTTGCAGCGTTCAAAATCATGGCCAGAAACCCAAACAACACTTGGGCTTTAAAGGTCAACGCTTTGATATCAGATGACTTGCCTCGAAAACCCTATTCGCACCCATTACTTGAAGACCTAACTTCCTACTTTACGCAACAAGCTCTCGCTGACCCAGACCCACGCAGCAACATCCCAATAGACTTGGAATTGGGCGCAGATACCTACTCAGTCATTCGACAAGATGGTTGTACTCCTGCCGGAATTGGTGACGTCCAGGCGTTCCAGACCAAACTAGGATATGTATTTTCAGGCCCTATAAAAAATATGCCCACTAATTGAACTCATTTGATTCACAGATATCACGGCGGGGGAGGCATGTACATGAATGTACCCAACATATTTTAGATGTTGCTATTTTTTTGCCCAACAATGTGCGTGCTATTTATTTGGCGCACCACTGTACCGTAGCGGTACGCATTTAATATGCACACATACATGCATACGCAAGCGGTACCAAACTATTATGTATTTACAAGTCTTCGTTCTCTTTTCCAGTCAGCATTGGAAAAGTCAAAGCAAAAATGCAGTTGGTGACGGCTTTGATGAGAACGAGATAATCAATCGAAGTTTTGCGTAAAATCGATCAACACGATACTTGACCCCGCCGCCGTGATAAAGTGAAGTGAAAGTTAAATTTTAAAGTACAAAAAAAATCAAAAGAATTTATCGTGAATTGTGATATTATTTAAAACCTAAAAATAATACACTTATTTTTAAAACAATACTTACCTTTGAAAACTATACTTACCTTTGAAAACTGTAATTAACTAAAGTGAAAAAATATACTTACCGTAGAAAAAATATTGGAAAAAATACTTACCTGTGAAATACTATACCTGCCCTTGAAATTGTAACCTTTACTTACCATATTAAAACCCCAAAATTAAGTGAAATAAAGTGAAATAAAAAACTAAATAAATTGTTTTAAAAAAAGAAGGTAAAAACAACTATAATGAAAGGTATTAAAGATTGCAAATTTAATATTTACATGCATTATTAAGTGAAACAACAGTATCTAATTGAATATCCTATCCGACTTATTATACAAAATTCGATATAAGAATCACTTTGTATAAGTAGAAATTAAAAAAGAAAAAAAAAAAAACAACGTACTCAATTAAAGATACTTAACATTCATTTATTTATAAGTATTTAATTTTTAGTACATAAATGTATTTTTAATATACAAAATGTAATTAATTAAACAAGTAAGGAAAATGTTATAAATTAAATATTAAATGCACCAGTATGAACTTTAATCTGATCCCAACAGGTAATTAAAAATATTGCTCTTAAAAATAATAAGCCTTCCTGTACTCCGATGCGAAATTGTGGCAAACTATATTGTAGATATCAGCACATATATTGATGTAGTAACTGTGGTTTGGTTTTATTTACACCATAATCATAAAACTGATTCCAAACACTCAGTCATACCTTGTAAAATTTTTCATTTTTTATATCAACATTTATTGATTCTTCGGTACCAGAAAATAGCGGGTAAATGATCTGCATAACAACCCTTTACAACGCAACCACTAAAATACCCTTTTTCGCTGAAAATTAAAAATTTCAATTTAATGGTTAAATGCAAATTATTATCACTTCAGATTTGGTCCTTTTTTATTCTTTCTACCTATTCTCATATTTTTCTACTATCTTCCTATTCGTAACCAACCTAAACATACATGCCAAAAAAATAAATACTGCTTTTATTTTCATAATATTGAATTGTATTAGTAATTTTGAATTATAAAAAACATTAAACTTGGAATTTTTCTCGCATGTTCCGCCATGTGGTACACTGCGATTTTGTAAAATATTAGCACACTTCTAAAATATTCAGCACCGTTACTTCGTTAAAAGTAGACCTCAGTCACCATCATCCTTCTTTCCAGGGTTCGAAAGCGATTTAACCGTTACCTACAGCTTACTCATATCGGTTCCAATGTTGCAACACTTCAGATGGTCAAGTCAATTTTCCTCTTGTGCTCCTGTACCAAATGGTTGGCTTCCACTGTCAATTCATTGATGAGAGATCAGTAGGATAAAAACGGAATTTGCGAAATTTGTTCTTATTTCGGGTATTCGGCCAGCGAGCGGCTTCAACTCTGATGATATGCTCCTGCACCACTGTCAATTTACTGATTTTAGGATCAGTAGGGTTGGAACGGGGGAGATCACCACGCTTATTTGCTAGTCGACCAGCAGGTATATAGGGAGCGGCTGCAGCTCTGATGATGTCTCGGGAAATCCTTTCTGCTACCCGAGCATCAGAAGAGTTTTACAGTTCTCTGAAGTGAAGTCGGTTGGTGAACTCACCGAATTCTTGCCAGTGAGCTTTCCCATGGTTAAGGAAAGTGCAGTGTTCAGAGGTTATAAGATCAGACGATCTGCTTATGGAAACGATTATCGGGAGTTGATCTGATCCAAGTGAAATGAAAGGTTCTCAGGTCACGTCATTTAGCAGACCGGGTGACACTATGATTAAGTCTATCGAACTGTGAACCTTGCAGAAGGTTGAAGCAGTCAATCTGCTCTGCCAGCGCTGACCCCTCACTCGTTCGTTCCCACGCTTTCCACTTCCAACCCTGCCGACCGAGGGGGCAACATAATGAAGATATCGGTTTGAAAATTATTACACGAGATACTGTAGACTTTCCCTCCAATCCTAGGTATTTATTTGGGGGCTGAGGAACTGACCACGCCTTCTTTTTAATCTATATATAAACCAATTGTTTTTCATTGGTAACTGGCCGGCTGGAACCATTTGGATATATTTTTTTAAATGTTAGGACGAACATTTAGGTTTTCATGCAAGAAAAAGTGACCACGCCCAATTTTGCGCCGATTTTTCGATTGATCTACAATCCTTTTATTTGCCACAATCATGAATATATCTGTTCCACAGTTAGTATACGATGTCATCTTGATTCTCCTTCCAACCCTAGGTATCTGTTTGGGGTAAGAGGAACTGGCTACACCTACTTCTTTAAATGTATATGTAAATTTTTCTGACTAAAATTTTCTTTTGGTTATTTGTAATTACGAAACGTTGTCATGAAAGAAAATTTTGAGAAAAATCGCGGGACTGAAAAAATTGAATGTTATATTATGATATGGAATTTTGTGTAGAATTGTTTCAGAATGCCTTTTGAAATTGAAAATAATTATTGAAAAAAAAACCGAACAAATCGAGTAAGTTGCATATGTTCTACACATGCTGTTATATGGTTGCCATACCCAAATCTTCGATTTTTATTAGATATGGAGAATTAAAAATGCAAAATTCATTGGGACTTCAATTAGTGAAATGTGAAGAAGCACTGAAATATACGGACTATACAAAATAGTGAAGTGAATTGAAAATATAGTATGAAAAGAATTCATATGTTCGGAAAATTCTTCCGAACCCTTAAAAGTAACCTTAAATCATAGGTAACGTTATACGGGCACTATAAGCTATCGTCAGTAATTACACTGCGCCGCAGACAATCTTGGGGTTAGGAAATTTTTTGGTTGGTAAATAAAAATCCCAAAAGAGGGTTTCCCGGAGTCCATTTTATATAGCATAAACATACACAAAGGGCCGCAAATATTTTGCCCCATACTCCGCAAAAGTTACGATAAAGTTTTATATTTGATACAGTCCTAGGGATTACATGAGGAATCATTTGTACAAAATATGTATCAGGTTGGTCTACATTGTGATATAGCCCCCCTCAAATGATATAGCCCCTTTAAAATTCCTCAAATGTTCGTAATTTGAGAAAAAATTGTTCCATTTATGTGAGCCAGATTTGAAAATTATTATGCTTTAACAAGTAAAAACGCAGTAAGTTCAGCCGGGCCGAACTTTGAATACCCTCCACCATTTGGAACGAATTAGAAATTTTTCAAAAAAATAAAATCCATTAATTTTTTTTTTAAATCTTTACAATATCTAATATAGGAAGGTGTCGATATATAAGGGTATATATTATATTGTGGACCTATTAAGACAAATCTATGTCTGGGTGTAAAGTACTCACAGGAAACTCCTTGTGTGGATTTTCAGATAACTCCATTGGAAAAAATGGCTAAAATCATAGAACTACTGAATATCGGGGGGTACCGTTATATGGGGGATATACGATATTGTGGACCTATATAGATAATTCTGTGCCGAGGTATAAAGTACCCAAAAGGAACTCCTTGTGTGGATTTTCAGACAATTCCGTTGAAAAATGTGGGTAAAGTTATCAAAATACCGAATATCGAGGGGTACAGTTATATGGGGGATATACGATATCGTGGACCTATACAGACAATTCTCGCTCAGGGGGTAAAGTATTCACAAGGAACTACTTGTGTGAATTTTCAGACAATTCCATTTAAAAATGTGGCTAACATCTTCAAAATACCGAATATCGGAGGGTACCGTTATATTGGGGCTATACGATATCGTGGACCGATATAGTGTACTTTCAATTGTTGGAAGATCAATTAACAAAGGACTCCAGTGAAAGCATCCGTATCCTAATACTGGGCGAAGCTACGATCTAAGATAACACCGAGATCAACAAAAGGGACCAACATTTACTAACCTGTGACCGATAAAGTAATTAGAATGTATTGGCTGGCATCTAAACATACCTTTGACACCGCACCAGATCACAAGTGAATGTAAATCGTACTGTTACAAAATCGAATCGTCAAAAGAATTTTTGTGCAAGTAAAACCTCACATAATTTGCATGCATTAGTATTTTAAAAAATATAATGTGATCCGAAAGGTCATTAAGATACACAACAAAAAGTAAAGGACTGCCCTGTGGTAACCAGAAGAAACAACAATATTTTTGGGAAACGAATCTTTGAAAATAACTTTTTGAGTACGACCCTCTAAGTGTGATGAAATCCAGTCTAATATAGCAGTCGGAAAACCCATAGCAAAAAAATAAAATAAGAGGTAGTAGATCTGCCCATGCTGAAAAGGCAAGGTTATGTTTTTTATAAAATGTGACATACGTTGTGAAGCTAATAGTTCAAAACGTTTAGGAGTGGCGCTTATCTTAGCAATACATCTATAGTTATTTATCTAACGTATATTGCCCGATTTATGAAGTGTAATAACGAAACTTTATCTCCAGAAAAATAACCTATTTTCAAGGTGTATTAAATATTTTTGTCAAAGGTAAGTATAGTTCCCTAGCATAAGACTTTAGGATTTAAGGCGAAGTGATTTAATTTAGTGGTATGGATCTTGCCAGGAACAATAGATGTGCCCTGAGTATATATAGGAAGGCTGAAAAAAAATAAATAAATTTGCCATTCCAAGATTGATTGAAGGCGCTTTACTACTGAGTTTCATGCTGTAGGGAAATTTCTGAGCTCTGTTTTTGGAGTTCCCAATTTTGAAATTGTTTGAAATTGAGCTGTTCATAAAAGTTAGAAACACATGTCATTGATGCACCACATAGAACGGAATAAAGTAGAGTGTAGAAGATATATATTCGCAAAGTTACGCCTACTATCTAAAATTTTAGCAATGGCAGTGTTGGACAGAACGTTCCTTAATTCAAGGTTTAACAGGGGCGTGATGATATATTTCCTAAGGAATTACACATAGAGGAAATCTACAAAGCGATCTATTTATGGAAGATGAGAAAATTAAATCTAAGAGTCATTCCTTATCATTCAGTACAAAATTTACTTGGTATAAGCAAAGTTCATAAATCTTATCCCAAAAAGCGTCGAATATAACTGGGTAAATGGAGAGTACAAAATCTAATTTATTATCACACGTAATCCACAATACATTAGGAAAATCAAAATCACCCTGTGATACTTTACCAATAAGATCAGCGTGAGTTAAGTAAGTTTTAATACCTGAATTAGGTGTAAATAACTTACTTAAATTATAAATGGACAGGTTATAAATATTGTGTTATCAAGGAATATTTACTTTGCACAAACAAATTTGTTATTTGGGTTGACATAAATATCGACAGCTTCCGAAGGAATCGAGTAACCAGAACTTGGATTGTAAT